GGATTCCTGTATTATAACCTTAACTGTAGTTAAACAAATAAATCCTATGATAATTCATAAGAATTCTCCCACCTGTGTCTGGAATGTTAAGTACTTTCTATGAAGGTATTTGCCTTCTATGAGAGTATTTGGGGGTCTATTAAATGTTGAGAACTTTGAGTGAGTGGTTCTTGAAATTATCTAAGCAGTGACTGAGTATGTCTTAAAATTCCAAAGACGACAGGTAGAACATTTCCTTTTACTCTAACTTAGTATGGAAGCAAAGAATAGTTAGGAGTATATTATTATGGATTCAGATGAAGAAAATGGACCTTACATGTCATATTAATTACTATTTAGTATCTCAAACTTTCTGATTCTTTGAACCACTGTATGTACTACTGCAACTGTGTCTTTCACAATAATGAACATTGCTAAATGTCTCTTTTTGGAAAAATTTTGTTTATTTGTTTAAAACCAGTAGCTGTTGAATTTGGCATTTGAAGATTTTTACAGCAGAAAGTAATGTCTCATTTGAGGTTAGAGAAATACTTAGACGTTTGTCCTTTGTTATATTTGATGAAACATTTCAAGGCTTGGTATCCGTAATTAAAGAAATACAACATGCCATTAAAATGATCCATTTCTAGCAGGGTTAGTAGCTTTGCCCATGCAGGCATAAAAAATACCATTTTTTCCCAGCCAATGGCAGTTGTTAACAGGAACAAGATTTAGGGCTGGGTGGGATTTTGTGAACATCTGATCCACCAAGCTCATTGTAGATGAAAAAACAGACCTGTAGAGGTTGTTACTTTTGCAGGGTCACACAGTAAATGTCAAGAGTTGCAAATGGAACTGAAATTGTTTATTGCCATTATCTATAATATGTAAAATGATTTAAAAAAAAAAACAAACTTAAATTGCTGAAAGTTAGGTGTGTAATGAATAATTGCTGTTGGTTCCAGCAAATAGAATTTTCAGCTCAAGAGTAAAGAGACAATACTTCAAAGAGTTAATTTTACTTAGCAACCAATTTGTTGTCTACTGTTTTGCTACTGAACGCATGTTCACATGCCTCCAAAATGTAACTGCAGCCAGCTGGACGCAACTGGATATTTCATAGACCTAACCATTCTAAAACATCAGTTCATTTTCCTTTATCATAATATAGGGATATTTAAAAACTAAAGGGCATTCTCTTGGTTCTCATAGCAGTTAATATTTCTTTCGTAGTAGCAAATTAGGTTCTTAGAAGTTCTTAAATTTTGGCAGTTGTAAAATCTCAACGTTGTCAGAGACCTCAGAAACCATCTATTCCGGTCTGCATCTGACAAAGGGATCAATCTCCTTTACACAGTTTGGCCATCCTTCTCATTCCAATTTGAAATGGTTCTGATAAAGATTTTGTTAGCATCAGCCCCAACACTGTTCAGACTTCTGCCTTTTGGAACTCAGTAGACCAAGTCTGAGCCCTCTTCCAAGTGACAACCCTTCAGATAATTTAAAAAAAGCCATCATGTCCCTACCCCCATAAACTTCTCTTTTCCAAGCTAAGTATCCTTACACCCTGCAGCCCATCTTCATAGCATGATCTCAGCAATTTGCATCATCTTGTTTGCTCTTCTGGATCTTCTTTAGTTCATCAGCTTTCCTTCACAAAATGTGCCACCAGAGCTGAACACAGTACTCCATTTATAGTGTAGCCAGGGCCGAAGATGGAGCTGTCACCTCCCCAGTTTTGAACAATTGTGCCATTCGATGCAGCCTAAGGTTCCGTTACTTATTTTAGCTGTCATTTCACATTGTGGATTCACCAAGCTTTTAGTCCGCTAAAATCTCCATGACTGTTTAGACAAACACTGCTGTTCACAGAGTGTTAACTCTCCCTCCCAGCTTTGTGTCATCTGCATAGTTTATAAGCATGCCTTTTATGCCTTTATCCATTATTGATTTAAAAAAAAAAATAGAAGCAGTGGAAAGATCACCAGAGTTGTAATTAGAAGAGATTCATGTATAACATTGGACAGGTTACATTCTTGGGCTAAGATTTCACCATCTCTAAAGTGAAGGAGGTGGAGGAGAAAACTTTAAAGTGCTCTCTGGCTCTAAATCCTTTGATCCCATGTTAACCAGCACAAGAACAAAGACAGATCCCCAAAGCACCCAATCTGAGACTTCCTTCCAGTTAGATATCAAACTATTCCTTACTGCTTAATCCAGACATTCTACCAATTCCAAGTTTTCTATCTTGTAGCGCTCTAACTTGACCATAAAGATAGCAAAAGTCAAGGAAAATTATATCTAGACACTGTTAGGTGTTACTATAATTTCCTTTCCACAAGCCAGGCCCTCTGTGTTGTGAGAATTAGATTCAGAGTAGCCATTTCCTTTGTCACTCAAATTTTGTAGGATGAAGGCAAGCCAAATGTGTATTAGTGTTTCTGCTTTTGGTAGAAGGACTAGCGCTCCACAGGTGTCCTAGTAATTGAAATTCTCTAGTTCACCCTCACTATTCTATCTTACTAGGCTTGTGACATATTTCCTGAACTCCTGCTTCTTCCTTTTTTCAGGTGGTCTGTAGAATATACCAGTGATAATAGTATTTTTGTTTCTGTCTCTAGTGATTTTTCCCAAAATCCCATCTGTCATGTTAGATCTTTTTGTGTGTGTAACAAATGATTTCCTTTATTTTTCCAGCCTTTATAAAAGCAGGAAATATTCCGAAATAGCCATTACATAATAAAGACAACACAAAACCTGCATGCCACATTTAATCTCAGAACAAAGATTTGTTCTGTGAAGGTTGGATTCAGTCACAGGGCTGCATTAGAGCGCCAAATGTGGCCTTGAGGCCGCAGGTTCCCCACCCCTGTAGTTTAACGTCACTTCTGGGCTATAGTTCTTTCACTGGTAAAAACGAGGATGACATCTGGAATTCTTTCCAAGTCAAAGGATTTGTGATTCTTTACTCAAAATCTAGTCCTCAGTATGAAATCTCAACCTTATTTAAATATTTCCATTTATTTTTAAATGTATGTTGTGGTTGTAGACTATATATGACTCTTTAAATTTTAATGTCATATTTCAGTTATTCAATAACTTCTAAAAACAAAAAAGGTATAACCATAAAATTGTACTATGAAGAAATATTTAGTCACTTCATCCTTTTTTAACACAATATGCTGAAAACAGATATACTAATAACACTGAATTTCACTCTCAGAATTCATATAATTCATAAGAGCAATATAATAGCAAACATGTTTACAAAACAGTGAAATGTTATAATTTACAGGTTAGTACTTAGCAAAATATCGATATGAAATTTCAAATTTTTAAGAACTAGAAAAATCAATTAAAATAGGGGGGGCACATTATGTAACAGATTTCAAGTAAAAATGTCACACCAACATATATTTAAGCCTCATTTTTCCAGTTGAAATTCAACACAATCTTTTTCCTTTTCTACTTATTTTTGAAGGGATAGGGTCAAAAGTTAATATTGGAATACTTCTGAATATTCACCAAACAAAACCAGAAGTTCATTTTTTCCTTTTTCCTTTATTTGAGGACTTTGATCCTTTTTCTGATTTGGCTTCCCAGAGAGCATTTCTTAGAAACCTTGAAGCAGCTCCTTTATCCAGTTTGGCAGCCATTTTCTTGTCTGTAATTTCTTTGACTCTGTTCATATATATTCTTCTTCTGTCTCTTTCCTGCTTTACTAGATGTTCCTTGAGATTAACTCCTTGAGTGGCCAAGTAAACCCAAACCATTGAATTCATTGCTTGAGCAGAAACTAAATCTAGCTCGACCAGTTCAAGTGGGTCCTAACAACTCATTTCTAGAAACTGACATCATGATCTTTAGCATTTCATCCACAGAAGGAAAGGAACTCTCAAATGCTGACAGATAGTCTTGAATTTCTATTGGATAGTCTTCCCCACTAGTCTCTTCTTCTGCCATGCTATCGTCTGTTACTCCCTCCTCTGGGAGTCTGTAGTTTCTTAATATACAGTGCTGCCTCCACATACCACAGTCTCCTCCATCCCCCAAGTATCCTTTTCCTGTACATCAGGAACACAAGTTAAAGGCTAATAGTTGAATGCAATCTGCAGTTAATTTTCTGTTTTTATTATTATGTGTATTTTCATCATTTAAGCATATAGGGATGTATGTTTTTATTTGTGAGCAGGTACAAAGTGTTGTGGAAAGAGTACATGGCCTGGATTCAGGAGGCCTAGCCTTAATCCTGGCTGTCATGCTTGCTGTGTGATCTTGGGCAAATTACTTTAACAAACTCTGAATTTCTGTACCCTGCTCTGGGAGATGGTGACTGTGCTCTTTGTATCGACCCCCTGTTGGATCACTTGCTCTTATTTTATTTTATTTTTTTTTAGCTGTTTGCATGAGTTTCTGCTCTCTTCACCTCCTTCTTGTATTTGGGCTTGTGACCTTGTATTGCCAATTCTTGCTTAATCTCTTTGAATGTATTTTTTATCCATTTGAATATTTGTGTGGTGATATTTTCTTTTTTTTTATCTTCTGCTTTTTATACTTCAGCTGATTCACGTGCTCTGTAATATTTTTTAGTTGGATAGGTACTTTATTTATTTTGAAAACTTTGGTTAGACTTTAATTTTGTTGCATTTTGACTTCTCTTTAGTGTTTTTTGTTTTGTTTTTTTTTTGTTGTTGGGGAGACTGGATCCCTGCTAAGCCCTATCCTCTTCAGGTCTTTTGGATTATTCTCAGAAGAGGGTTTTTTTAAACCTTAAAGCATTATATAAATTTGAACTATTATTTTTCCTTGTAAAAGTATACAGCAGAGTTGTCAAGAATGAACTTAAAATTCTGTAAAGGAGAAAATATTTCTTTATGGAAGAAACATTGAATTTCAAGAGTACTTCTTATTAAAAAACCATTATTTTGATCATCATTTCAAGAAATTTTTTTGATTACTTAATTTAATCAACATTAACTTATCTACATAGTAACAGCTACTCTTTTATTATATTTCTTTAGAGAACAGCGCTTCTATTGGCATCTGAAACTGCTGTTTCCTCAGAGTCGTGCTGAATATGTGGAAAAAGGGTATGGTATTGCATGTGCCTGTGTAAAGAAATAATTTCAGTGAACAGAAACCCTGTTTATTAGAATGAATATCAAAGAATTCCTTGGATCCTTATTTCCCTGAAGAATAGAATTTTAAAGCTCAAAGGGATCTTAAAGAAAAGATTGTTTATCCCCACGCCATTTTACACACAAGGAAACAGATCTTTAGAAAATTAGCAACCCACGCAAATGTTTAAATTGTTTATATTTGTCAGTAATAGTAAAAAAAAAAAAAAAAGTTCTGTGTGAGGATAAAACAGTTAGGGGTATAATAGAATTTTAGAGCTAGAAGTGACATTAGAAATTAACGCTTTCATTATAAAAGTTAATAAAGGTGAATTCTACCTTCATCTATATATTTATATAGGCTCTGGCAGTAAATATTCATACATACAAACATATGTTTTATACACACACACACACACACACACACACAGAGAAAATACCAGCCATGTATTTTTAAAATTTTTGACACCTGAAGATGATTGTGTACTCCTTATGAAGAGTAGAACCTAGATGTTATTCCGTTTGGTTGCTTTGAGAAAAGTACCTTGTAAAGTTCACTGTTATCACATGGTTGTGGTTCACTTCAGATTGTCAATCTGGGCTTCCATGAAGCTCTTTGAACTTCTTTTCTCTAAGGTGAATCTTATACCAAAAATAAGGAAAGGGCACAAGTGTTTTTTTCTACATGTGCATACAGTTGCAGAATAGACACATATGAATAATCAAGAAATATTTTATATATTATTTCAGAACCCTTGTTTTATTGAGCAGCTTTGTGGTTTGAAATTATGTATGTGAACAAGTCGGAAAACTGGTAATTTTTTATGGGGGGCAGCTAGGTGGTGCAGTGGATAGAGCACCGGCCCCGGAGTCAGGAGGACCTGAGTTCAAATCTGGCCTCAGACACATAACACTCACTAGCTGTGTGGCCCTGGGCAAGTCACTTACCCCAGATGCCTCACCAGAAAAAAAAAAGTTGCAAACAAGAATTCTTTTTTATGGCTTCAACAATTGGAGTGGCTAAACTTTTTACCTTTTTTTTTAGTCTCCAACCAACTTGTTTATTTTTTTTCTTTTACTCAGCTAATTCCATTTTATTTTTGTGCAAGTTAAAAGAAAAGAAACAAAAAAAACTAAATAAAAAGAAACTTTATTTTTCATAATTTGATTCTAGTAAAATTCTCAAGATGTTTTTATAAGAGGTTATTAAGTGTGTCCAAGAAGTCTCGTAAGCATTTTAGAAAATGATTTTTGTTTAAAAGAGTGTTTAGGGAAAGCATGTATGTTGGGAAGTGACTTAGATGTAAAAAACAAAATACATCAGATTTTTTTTTTTTAAGAGTAAATCAAAATGCAAAGGCTCTATTTGGTTTTAAACTTAACATCTTCAGCAGAGAATCATAAATTTTGTTCTTTGTCTTTTCTGTCTTTGGTAAAAGAGTTCCCGGTGATAAGAAGCTTCATGAAATATTAACAACCTATATTGATCCTGAAAAATCTGATCCTGTAATTCGTCAGAGGTATAGTTTTAAAATCTTAAATTTTCTGAAGTTGTATTATGGACATTAATGGTTTCTAAACCACTCTCCAGTTCCTGTTTTATCAGCTTCACGTTTCGAATTTCATACCGTAATTTCATTTTTTAATGTAATTCAGTCATCACAGTATTATGTTTAATAATAATTCAGACTTTTAAACCAAAGTTTTCTCATTACTATTATGTAATGGAAATTGTACTATTTGTAGACAGACTTAGTGCTTGAAAATTAGTTATGGTATCACAAAAGCAAATTGAAAATTCTTTGTTAGGCTTATCCTAATTTGTGTGTGACAGTGCTGAAAGATGTCTGCAGGGACAGTTCGATCTCATTGAGAAACTTTCCTTTTCATTTCGGCATGCTCACTTGGAATGTAAATAAATGTGTCATGTGACTCCAGGGAAGCTAAAGGTATAGGTTTAGACTGGCTATATTCTGAAGTGTCTGGTGCAGTCCCAATTTGTATTCGTCTCTGTCCTTCCCTAGATCTGAACCCCAGGGATACCAACTTCTATATCAATACGTTTGGGAGGGCATTCTTTCCTTTTTGTAATCGAGTTATTAAGAGTTTCCACATACTTGGCTGCAATTTTTGATAAATTATTTGCAAGTACTAGCTAGCTCTGGTAAATTAAATTAAATTTAAAAGCTAAATGAAAATGACAATCAGATTAGCTTAACTGGGTGAAATGGATATTTTCAAATGAAGATACTTAATGGAATAATGAGGGGGGAAAGTAGGGGTTGAGGAGTCGTTTTTCACTTATCAAGCTAGCCATTGGAAACCGTCTTTAGCCCTTTTGTTGTATCTGTCTTGTGGGCTGATAAGAAATCAAGTTTACGTTTCTTTTGTTGTCACAGAATGTTACTAATTAAGGACTAAATGTATTTCAGGTTAAAAGCTTATGTCTTTTCTGAGAGTGGAATTCAAATTTTAATGAAGATTGAAAATATGCAGCACAACTTAGTCAGGTAAGACTGTTCTCCTCATCCCAGCTGGGCTTTCAAACACTAACCAAGAGGTTGATGTGGTTAAAAACCTTTTTTATGTCTTGCTGTTTGACTTTTGAAGTCTTGTATCTCATGAACTTCACAAAGAGTTCAAATTTTTAAATGAATATAAAGCAAACAGAACGTGACCTAAGAAAATGTAAGAGGCAAAAATAAAGTTCCATATCCAAAACCATTTGCTTTAAAACCTTAAAGTGCTAGCCTTTCAGTTTTGGTAGGTCAGTCATAAATTGTCTTTTGGCTGTCATAAAACTGCTCCTTTGCCAGACTAAAGGCAGGCAGGGAATTACCTTCAGTTTCAGAGCATGAGTGACGTCCGTAAGGAGAAAAAAAAAATAATATTCCCGTTAGCAGCTACTCTGAGGATTTTTGTTCCATTAGAAATTTAGTTCTGAAATTAATTGATTCTCTATTGATTCTACCATTGAAATTTGGTTGTAATGAAGGAAACCCTAACACATTAGGTTTCCAAGTTCTGTCCTATTCAATTTAGTTCAAGAAATATTAAATATTGAAAAATCTAGATACTCAAATCCATTAGAATCAGCTCCCATTTGAATAAGTACATGATAACTATAGTAGTTGTATGATAGATGTAAAACTGAATGATTGGCAATAATGGCGCGTGTGTGTGTGTGTGTGTGTGTGTGTGTGTGTGTGTGTGTGTGTGTGTTGCTTTAAGGATGCATAGAACTTTGCATGTTTCCTCTCATTTGATCTTTAGATTTATGATTTGAGGGAAGTAGGAACTACACATTTCTGTGGGATTTTTAGGGAATCTAAAACTCCAAATTGAAAGCAATGGAATCATAAGGCAAAGACAGCTTGGAAAGTCTGGAGACCCCTGCTTTAATCCTGGCCCTCTGTCTGTGTGTTAAGAATGGAGCAGATGAAAACTTGAGTGCTTCTGTCTCTACATCTGTTGAGTGGCTTGGAAAGGTCCCTTCTAGGTTGAACGTTGTGAGCGATGAGTCAGGGATACTATTAAGATGCCAGCTTTTTGTGGGACGATATTTGTAAAGAGCTTAGCAAAGTGCTTAGCACATAGTAGGTACTTAATAAATACCTATTTCCTTCTCTTCCTTCCTTTCTCACCGGAAGTTAGAGGCACATTTAGACTTTACATAAAAAGACGTGACCTCTAAAAATGACAGCTGTGCAGTTGCTTGGTTGGTAGAATATTCACTTGAAACCTGAAAAGCATTTATTAAACACCTGCTGTGTGCGAGGCATTGATGCAAAGAAAGGTAAAATATAGTCCCTGCACTCAAAGAACTCATAGTCTATTAGACAACATACTAACAACTATGTACAAGCAAGATATGTACAGGATAAATTGGGGGAAATCAGCGTAGGAAGGGCACAGAATTAAAAGGGATCAGGAAGGGTACTTATAGGAGGTGGGATTTTAGCTGGGACTTGAAGGATACCAGGAAACGGAGATGAGGAGGAAGGACATTTTAGGAATGGGAACAGTCAGTAGAAGTATCTATAGAAGGTCAGTGTCACTGGGTTGCAGAGTATGTTGGGAAAGGGAAGGGAAAGGCTAAGATCTCAGAAGACTGGACAGGTTACGAAGGGCCTTAATGCCAAACAAAAGGTTTCATATTTGATTCTGGAGGTGATGTGGAACCACTGCAGATTGTTGCCTGCGGGGTGGAAGGGTGACACAGGAAGATCAGTTGGAGAGCTGGACTGGGTCAAGGAGAGACTTGCGGCAGGAACGCCAGCCTGAAGGCTGTTGCAGTAGTCAAGGCCGGAGGTGACAAGGACCTGTACTAGGGTGGAAGTAGCATCAGAAGAGGGAAGGGGAGCGTAGATGAGAAATGTTATAAAATCTTTGGTGCGAAATCTCGACCTGTCTCAGTGTGTCAGTGCCATATATGCTGTCTGTGTACATTACGTTGGGAATTTTCCCAGCATATTATGATATTTTGGGAAGTTACATACATAATTATGTATCTGTATGTCTGTATACACACATACACACACATAATTTTAATCAAAAGAATTTTAAAGCCAAGGTAGTTTATGTTCGTGTTTAGGCAAAAATTAGCATTTGAACAATTGTATTCATAATTGCAATTTTAACATTAAAGAAAAATGAATCTGTTCTAATTCATAAGATTTGTATCTTCTAATTTTAAGATAAGAATCATGAGGATTTTATTATTTCTTTAAAAATGTTTGTTGGGAATTTATAGCTTTGTGGGTTGTTCAATTTAAAAAGAATTCTAGAATCCTGGGCATTCCAGTGGCTTCAGATTAAATGTCTTTTACTAGACATTTGATTTTTTTAATTTCTGTAGACTTCGCCTTCCTTTTAGGGTTGGTTTATTGGTAGCATCTCATTTAGTGCCTGGACCATAATAAGTACTTAAGAAATGCTTATTGATTGGTTGAATGAAGTGATCATTTTGGCTGATCTTTACACAGAACAGGCAAATTCTGTTTGTACCGATTCTGTTTGTCTTCGAAAATGAAAATTTGCTCTTAAAATAAATTAGGAAACTCTTCCTTTACTAAGAAAATTGTCAGACGTATTTTAGACCTATTTTATATTCACATTTATTTTGCTTCCTAGGTCCTTCTAAATAGTTAGGACAGCATGATGACTTACCTTTAGCTATTGTTGCCTAAATGTTTCTAAATTCTGCATTCTTTTCTAAAACATTATTTTCTGAATGAATAGCCTTTCGGTCCTAAACTTTTATATTGGGTTCACTTTTGCAACCACTTTATGTGGTGAAATTGTGTGTATATATACTAAGAAGTAGCACTAATGTGCTGCCAACACATGCTGTCTTAAGAGATACATCTCATTTCGCTTTAAGAAGTACCACATTGTACTCTTTGTAAATTAAAGGCTTACACTGTTAAATTAATTGACTACTGAAGCCTAAAATAAGTTTAAAAAAATTAATAGCATTAAACTACTTACTGGTTGTGATTAGAAAACCTACTTTGTAAATTAACGCATTGATTTTTTTCAAGATCAAAATTGTATAATTATACCCATATCAAGTAGATAATAAGTTGAAGCTAGAAAAAAACATCCTTTTTTTTTTTAAACTTTTTGCTGAACTGACAGTAAAAATAATTTTTCCTAAAGAATATTTCTACAGTGAAAGAAAATATGCTTAAAATAAAAGCTCTATATGACTGGTCATTGAACAGACTAAGTAATATTGACTGAACCTAGCTTGCATGCATGAATAGGGTTCCCTTCAGCCCTATAACTTCTGCTAGTTTTTTGAAGTTATGGATTGCATAGTGTTATTTTAACTGTCTTGCCAATAGACTGTTCACCACTTGCCACCAGAAGGCCCTTTTCCAATAGTGTTAATTAATGTGTAGGTTTGTTTAGATGTATCCAAGAGGGCATTTTCTCTGGCCATTGCCCCGGGCCTGGAATGCTCTTCTTCCTCCACTTTGAGTGTTGACCCCACCTGGCTTCCTCTAAGTCCAAGCTAAAATTCCACCTTTTACAGGAAGCCTTCCCCAACCGCTCTTAATTCCAGGGCCTTCCCTCTGTTAATTATTTCGTATCAATCCCTGTATATAGTTTCTTCATATGTATTTGTTTGCATGTTATTTTCTCCATTAGAGTATGGGCTTCTCAAGGGCAGGGACTGTCTTTTGTCTGTTTTTGTATGCTCAGCACTTATCATAGTACCTAACACATAGTAGGTACTTGGGTACTTAGTCGATATTGATTGGCAGATAACTAACAGATAGGCCACCTCTTGGTGTATATGGTTTACAGTGTTAGTGAGATTATGACCTTGAGTGAGTCCCCTGACAATTTTGGAACCTCTGTTTTTTTGGTAAAATAAGGGATTTAGGTTAGGTGATTTGTGTTCTACAATATCCTTTTTTGGCTAGAATTTGAATTATTTGTTGAATGCTAGAATTAGAATCACAAAATTTCAGAGTTGGGAGGGCCCTCAGCACCCTTCTACCCCACCCTGTACCTAACATTATTCTCCTTTTCTACTCCAGTCTCTCATGACAGGATGCAAGGAGAATGGCCCTTCTTGCCAAGACCAAACCTCTAGTTGTACATTTGGTCTCATCTCCACTTTTCTTTGTCAAGGTGGCTCAATATTTATCCTGCCTTCTCTGTCCCAGTCTACCCCCTGCTTAATTTACTGGTACCTTCCCTGGTGCCTATAGAGTTCTTTTCCCTCATTTGATTATACCATCCTCTCAAACTGTCGTACCACATCTCTGCTCTCTTTCCCAGACAAACTGTAGGCAAAGCTGATCACTCTTGTTCTCTCCACCTCATCCTCTTTTCCTCTTTTCAGCTGTTTGCATCCTGGTGTCCAACTTCATCACTCAACTGAAACTAGACTGCTTTCTCCAGAGTCACCAGTGATTGCTTTCATCGCCAAATTTGGCATCTTTTTTTCCGCCTTTATCCTTCACGACCTCTCCACAGAATTTGACATTATTTACCACGCTCTCCTGCAAGATAATTTTTTCCTCCCTGGATTCTCTCTTGGTTCTCTTCCTATCTGATTGCTTCTTCTCAAGTTCCTTTGCTGGACCACCCTATTTAACTGGATGTGCCCCCCAAAAATTTGTCCTGGACCCATTTCTCTCTACCCTTTCTTGGTGAATTCCTCAGCTCTTCTGGGTTCAGTCATTATCTTTTATGCATGTGGCTCTTAGATTTGTATAACCAAGCCTGTTCTTAACCTCTGATCCTGGGTTACCAGCTCCCTAATGGGCATTTTAAGCCAGATATTTCATAGGGAAACAGCATGGGAAAAGGCCTGAATTCAGAGTTAGAAGTCCTGAGTCCCAGCTTACTACCTGTGTGATCTCCAGTAAGTCATCTGACCTCCGAGACTTGAGTTTCCTCATCTGTCAAATGAGAAGGTTGATTAAGTGTTATCTGAGATCCCTTACAACTCTAGGTCCATGATCATATATCTGAAGTTATTTATTCTCCA